CCAAGGGCCAGCACCTTCACCGTCACACCCTCGCCATCGTGCACGAGGTCAGGAGAGGGGCTGGGGGCGGGAGGGTCCCTGCTGGGCAGGTCACCCCGGGTACCTTGGTCACTCCACTCAGAGCTCCCCCTCCCCACCCTTCCCACAGGTCACAGCCCCAGGGATCCCCACCCCTGCTTCCCAAACAAGGCTCAAGGTGGACAAGCAGACCTGGGATGTTGGAAGTTGAGGCTTGTACCTTCAACACTGTATACGTGTTGACCCAGAAACTCCACTTTATGGATTCTGTTGCAAATAGAGGTTGATGGACACGGTGTTCCCTTCAACAGGGTGGGAGTGAGCTGCCCACGCTAGGTGATGGGTGCACGTGTGGCCTGGGATGGGTGCTGCTCACTGTTCTCCCAGACAGGGGTGCCCGTCACCCTTCTCTCCCGGGGACCTCCGTTTCTTCACGTTCTTGCCAGGGCTGCTGGTCCCCAGACCAGACACCTGCCAGTCTGAGGGTGACCAGTGCTGCCTCCATAGGGTTTCCTTTGCCAGAGTCCTTCCCCGGGAGCTCCTGCATCTCTGACTCCCCCCATGCCTGTCCCCCTCCCCTTGGACTTGCATGCATTTCATCTCTGTCCCTGTGGAACCCAGTGACTTGGAACATGGTTTGGACCAGAGGCATGGGAAACCTTTCTGTGGCCTTGGGTTGTGAGCAATGCTTTGGCCCTTTGGGGTGTGTCTTCCAGCTTTCTGCATTTCCCTGGTTTCTCTGTGGGTCACAGGAGGAACCAGCCCTTTCCTGTCTGGGGTCAGGCTGAGGTGTCCCAGCAGGAACAGGGGTCTCCGCCCCGAGATTGTGTCCATATTTACCAAAGGGGGCTCTATGGTTACATCTCATCTGTAATCCATCGGGGTTTTCAACATCAAATAAGGGAAATTCTATGTCAAGTCAACACAGAAAAGAATGAGTCCCCTTTGAAAATAGGGGGGCAGACACAAAGGCCCATACTGTGTGATTCCACGTACAGGAAACATCCAGAACAGGTAAAGGAACAGAGAGAGGAAGCAGCTTAGGGGTTTCCAGGGAGGTCTTCTGGTTCGGGGACTCCTTTGGGGAAGCAGATATTCCACAGCCATGTTCTGTGGTGTGGTGGCCCAGCGTTGGGAATGTACTTGATGCTCAGGACTTGTTCAACTGAAAACAATTCATTTTATTTAAAATGAATAATAAACAGCATATAGGACATGGAAAGAGAATAGAACAGTTAATATGAACCCGAGAGAAAGAACATAGGGAAAGGGGATGAAACAATCTGGCGGGGCATCGGGGTCGGATGATGGAGCTAAGGGTAATGGTACAAGGAGCTCTCCCCGTGAGGATGTGGGCTCTGGATGTGGTTCTGGGAGCCCTGCAGGAGCAGGAGGAGGGGCAGGGCCAGATGCAAGAGCAGGGCCAGATGCAAGAGCAGGGCCAGGGGCAGGATCCACGGTAAGAGCTGGGTCAGGGGCAAGTACAGGAGCACAGGCAGGGCCAGGGGAAGGGGCAGCGGCCCTGGAAAGCAGGGGAAGGGGCATCGGCTCGGGCAGGGGCAGGGGCAGGAACAGGGACACCGGCAGGGGAAGGGGCATTGGCTCTGGCGGGGGCAGGAACAGGGATGCAGGCAGGGGAAGGGGCATCGGCAGGAACAGGGACGCACGCAGGGGAAGGGGCATCGGCTCTGACAGGGGCAGGGGCAGGAACAGGGACGCAGGCAGGGGAACGGGCATCAGCTGTGGCAGGGGCCGGAACAGGGACACAGGCAGAGGAAGGGACAGGTGCAGGGGCAGGGGGTGGGTCAGGGGCAGGAATGGGCCCACACGCAGGGGCAGGGAAACGGGTAGGGAAAGGGGAAGGAGCTGGGTCAGAGGCAAGGATAGGAGCACAGGGAGGGGCTGGGGAAGGGACAGTTGCAGGGGCAGAAGCCGAGTCAAGGGCAAGAACAGGAATACAGGCAGGGGCAGGAGAAGGGGCAAGATCCAGGGCAGGAGCTGGGTCTGGGGCAAGAACAGGAACACAGGTAGGGGAAGGGGCAGGTGCAGGGGCAGGAGGTGGGTCAGGGACAGGCACAGGACCACAGGCAGGGGCAGGGGCAGAACCCGGGTCAGGGGCAAGAATAGGAGCACAGGCAGGGGCAAGGGAAGGGATAGGATCCAGGGCAGGAGCTGGGTCAGGGACAAGAACAGGAACACAGGTAGGGGAAGGGGCAGGGGCAGGGGCAGGAGGTGGGTCAGGGACAGGAACAGGACCACAGGCAGGGGCAGGGGCAGAACCCGGGTCAGGGGCAAGAATAGGAGCACAGGCAGGGGCAAGGGAAGGGGCAGGATCCAGGGCAGGAGCTGGGTCAGGGTCAGGGTCAGGATCCGGATCAGGGGCAAGAACAGGTGCACAGGTAAGGGAAGGGGCTGGTGCAGGGTCAGGAGCTGGGTCAGGGGCAAGAACAGGTGCACAGGCAGGTGCTGGGGAAGGGGCAGGTGCAGGGGCAGGAGGTGGGTCAGGAGAAGGGACATTGGCTCTAGCAGGGGCAGGGTCAGGGGCATGGGAAGGGGCAGGAGTTGGGGCAGGGGCCGGAACAGGAGCACAAGCCGGGGAAGGGGAGGGGGCAGGTGCAAGGGGAGGGACAGGGTCTGCCGCATTGGCACGTACAGGACCCGGGGCAGTATCTGGGTCAGGGGCAAGAACCGGGGCACTGGCAGGGGTAGGGATGGGTCAGGATCCAGGGCAGGAGCTGGGCCGGGGGCAGGAGCAGGGCCACAGTTCGGGGCAGGCGCAGGGGTGGCGGCTCTGGCAGGAACAGGGTCAGGCACAGGGGCAGGCTCTCCGGAGGCAGGTTGTCCAGCAGGCCCTTCCTGGCCCCCGTCAGGCTCTCCGTGGGCGGGTGCTGGGTCACCTGCCGGCTCCTGGTCTCCTGCTGAAGTCGCAGCCACCACCCCTCCATCCAAAGCTGCCGATGGAGTTGGAACCGGCTCTAGCTCCTCAGGTGGGGGAGCAGCTGTGAGAGGAGAAAAGCTCACCCCGAGCCTGCTCTCCGTGGAGACAGAACCCAGCCCAGGGCCTCCCAGAGAAGCCGCAGCCAGGAAGGAGCCCTCCCCGGGGCGTCTCCCCGACCGCAGTCCACCCGCTGGGCGCTCTGAGCCCAATCGTTGCTCCAGGCCCCACACCAGGCTCTGGGGGCTCCTCCCTGTGGGGCCAGCCCCCACCCTTCCGCACACACCCACGGGCACCCAGCCCCGGGCTTCTCAGCCTCAGGCTCGGTCTCCGTGGGCTCCGGCTCCTGGAGCACAATGCAGTCAATGACCACCAGGGACAGTGGTCTGGGTGGTGTCGGAGGCCTCTCCCCGCAATCCCCAGCACCTGCTCCAGGGGAGTCCTGTGGGGTCACGCTCCGGATCCCGGACATGGAGTGGGTGTCCGCCAGCCTCGTGCCGATCTCATCGGAGGTCTGCAAAGACAGGGACGGGTAGCCGGCCTGGAGGCATCCCAGTCCTGCGCGGCCAACCTCCCTGTCCCCTGCCCAGTCGCCCTGCTGCTCCCAGATCAGACACACACCTGTGGGTGCACAGCCCTGCACGCGGGACAATGACCCATCCCTGCAGGGCGATCGAGATAAACCCTGGGCAGAAGCTCACAGCCCCCCACACCCCGTCCCACCCAGCCAGCCTGGACCTTGAACATGACCTGCCCACGGGTTATCTGACCCCTCATCAGCCTGCTCTTGAATGGCGTTGGCCCACCCCACATGACCCCTCTTCACACACACACACACACACACACACACACACAAACACACACGGAGGGGAGGGGACCTGGGGCTGCACAGGTGGATTAGACCCTGTGGGGCTGGGTGGCCGGCTCTGGGCCTCCTGGTGTCACCTTTCGGGCCTTCCGGCCAAATGGCCAGAGGCGGTGGGGAGCCCTGATCGGACATCCCCAGCGGGGGCCAGCGTTTGCAGGGCGGGCTTTCTTCAGCCTGCAGCATCCAGACTTAGGGAGGCAACAAGCCCACATGTTCATGGTTGGATGATCTCCAATGAAATGAGCTGGGCAGGGGGCTGTCTCTGGAATGTGGGTGCCTTGTTAGCTGGGTTCCAAATTCTTTGGACTCTGTTGTCAGGGAAGTGAGGTCACCACTGCCTGGGGTCCCCTTACCCAACTTCCTCCTCACACAGGACCCCCACCCCCGAGGGCCCCCTCCCCCAGCTGCTCAATGGTCCCCCTCCCCCCATGCCCCATTCATATAGTGACTCCCTCACAGCCCACCCACAGCCTTCCCAAGGCCTGGGTGCAGCTGGTGTCCCCGCTGTGAGGACACAGAGCTGGCTTCAGACTGGGCTCCTGTGCGTGCCCAGGCCTGTGACCCTGGACAGACCCCGTGCCTCTCAGGGCCTCCCCAGGCTCCCCATCTGCACAGTGGGGTGTTCTGGCTTCTACTCCTAGGGACGCCATCAGGGGTAGGACCTCTACATACATTCCGTACTTGCTATCACAGGAGGCTGGGGCACACTTGGCAATGCAAGGATGAGCCAGGGGCTGGGCGGGACATGGAGCACAGCTCAGAGGGGCCTGGGTCTGCTCTGGGGTCTGGGCAAAGCCACCCCCTTCTTGCCTGTTCCCAGCCCCTGTGGGAAGGTTGCAATGAATGGATTCCGACCTTGTCCCCTGGTGATGCACACTTCCAGGGGCTCCCATTAGGTTTAGGCTCAGGCCCTGGGGCCTCGTCTGTGCCCATGTGCTGGGAAGTCCCCACAGTGGTTCCCGGGCATTCCCGCATCCTGCTCACACATCCCTGTGGAATCCCCTCCCCTCCGGGGTGGATGGCCTGTGTGACCGCGCTCTCAGGAAGAGAATGGGGCAAAATGCTGGGATGTCATTTCCAAGCTGATGGAGGAAAGTCTGTGACTTCTCCTGGTTCCCTCTGTCATGTCATTCTCTGTCTCCTTATCTGTTTCTGTCTCTGTCTCTGTGTCTCTCACAGGAGCAGGATCTGTGGACTCCAGGGGTGATGTGAGAAACCTCAGAAGCCTCCCTTGTCCGTGTTTCCCTCTTCTGTCCCGGTGCTCCATTCCTTTCTAAGGCCTTGTCACCCGGACCAGAGCAGTGAATCTGGAACCTCTTCCAAATGGAGACCCGGAGGCTGCAACAAGGAGGGTCTTGGCCTTGGTCCCCAGACTAGTGGTCAGTGCTCTGCCACGTTCTGCGTACCCAGGTCCTCAGCCCCCCAAGCCCCCAGTCTGTCCCCTGCTCAGAAGGACCTCGAGGGAGCACAAAGCATTTTCCCAGGACTGGGAGCACAGTGGGTCGGGGATGGAGATCCAAGGCCAACAGGCTCTTCCACAAGCCTGTGGGACCCTAGGGACACTGCATCTCTACAGCCCAAGTGACAGAAGAGTAAGCTGAGGCCTTTGTGCTGTAGCCCCTCTGGACTTGGGGGTGGGTATCTCTTCTTGCTTTCAAGTGCCCAGGCTGGTGATGGACACCGGAACCCAGACCCTGTCCTCTCTCAGTGCCCTGGCAACCCCCCTGGGCCCCTTGGGGACCCCTGACCCTCGGCCTGGCCTGTCTCCCCTCCCCATGCTATGGATCTGGGTCCTTGCCAGGAGTCCTGATGCCCTGCCCCATGGCCCAGCTATCTGCAACCTGTTTCTTCTTTCCCCCCTGTCACCCACCTCGCTCCCAGGGTGTCCTCCCCTTCTGACCCCCAGCTGGGCATTCAGAGTGGTGTGTGTGTGTGGGGGGGGTGGGTGTGCAGGTGCACGTGCCTCTACGTGCCTGGGGATGCCAAGGTCATGTCGCCACATGGGACGGGGTGGGTAGCTCTTCCCGAGGATCTGAGGGGCTCTCACCCCCAAAGCAAACCTCATGGGAGGGTTGGGACTGGCCCAGGACTGGAGAGCAGCTCCTTGGACTCTGCACCCCTCGGTTGTCCTGGGCCAGTCCCTGCCTCTCTTGACCCAGGTTCCCAACTGTCCCTGAGGGTCGGACATGGAAAGGCTTGAACGTGGCTGCTCCTCCAGGGTTAGGTGGGGGACAAGTGCACCAGGCACGCAGGCCTCCCCACCGAGAGGGCCAGCCAGGTGTGTCATGGCCAGGTGTGCACAGACGACCTGCCCACAGCTCCTGTACCATGACCCAGCCCTGCGGCAGATGTGCATGAGACCCATGGCTCCGCACCTGACCGGTCCCCCGCGTTCCCTCACCACCTCAGAGACAAGGGCTCTTCTTCGTCCTAGGGCCCGTCATCCTTCGGACAATGAGAGCAGAGGGATCCGTATCTAGAGGAGGCCGGCAGGGCGTCCCACGGAACGTCGTGTGCCCATCTCTGCTTTGTCGTCTAGGCTTAGCGGCGGACCCCCACCTAGAAAGAGGCCCGCGGGGCAGGGACATTTGTCTGCCCTGTTCCCTGAATTATGGAAAATGTCTAGAAGGGGCTTCCTGTCCATTTGTGGAGTCGATGAAGCCCAGCCAGCACCTTTCAGATGTCTGAGTGGCTCTGGGGCCCCTCTGCCAGCCCCCTGGGATCCCTGCTCTGGTTCCACCCAGGATGGGAGCCCCAGATGGAATCTGAAACCTCCTCACAGCCAGGAATGCGGCTTTGCCTGGGACACAGGGCACCGAGGCTTGGGGCAGAGAGCTCCTTCACGGTGGAGAGGAACCGCCTCAGCCCCAGGCCACCCTCCCCGTGGGCCGGCCACAGGGTCGGGGAGCGGTCCCAACAGGCCCGACGGCAACCCCGTGTGTGGGGCCTGGCCTCGTGGCACGCAGGGTCCCCAGGAGACACCTGAGGTTCGGAGAGGGGACGTGCCAGGCCCGAGACACACAGCCCGCAGGTGAGGGGGAGCCTCCGGGCAGGACGGGGGGCCCTGCTCACCTTGGTGACCAGCAGGTGTGGGAAGGGCTGGGGAGGCGTTCCTCTGGGAGGTGCTCCAAGAGAGGGGCCACAGGAGAGGGCCTGGCCCGGCTCCAGCAGCTTCCTCAGGCTGTCAGCACGGACCGCCCACAGCCTCTGGCTCGCCCCCAGCGGCAGGGCCCACTCAGGTTCACGGTCGGGCTGATCTGTGGATAAAGGAGGGACAATTCACAACACAGAAACTGCAAAACTATTCCTGTCCGTGTCCTGAAGTGCAACAGAATATCCAAATTGGTTCGGATTATCTTCCACGTATGTGAAGGGTGATTTTGTACCTGGCCAAGGCGGGGGCTGGACCGGGTGTGTGTGTCTGTGTGTGAAGGACCAGGTGTGTGTGTGTGTGTTTGAAGGACTGGGTGTGTGTGTGTGTGTTTGGCGTGTGTGTCTGTGTGTGTGTGTCTGTGAAGGGAGCAGCCCAGACCCCTTGGGTTGAGATCATGGCCACGTAAGGGGCACAGCCATCGTGGCACCCCGGGTCGTCAGTGTCCCGGATGGCGTCGGGGCAGGAGACCCTCCCAGCCCTCCCCGAGCCCGGTCCTGGAGCGCCCTCGTCCCCACACTCCCCCTGAGCCCGCACCAGCCCTTACCGACTGCCTGGTGCACGTGCCCCACGCCGGGGAGCCATAGAGTGAGGCTCCTGTTGACCAGCTTGTCCCCAATTTCTTCCATGGGGCTTTGCGAAGACAGTGAGCGGCGCCCGGCCCGGAGGCATCACAGCCCTGCCCGGCCGTCCTCACCGTCCTCCTGCCCAGCCCCACTGCTGCCCCCAGATCAGACACAGCCCTGTGCGGGCACAGCCCTGCGCCTGGGGTGCAGTGACATGTATTGACAGGGCTCCGGATCAACCCTGGGGAGAAGGAGGCCGCCCCAGCACACCCCGTCCCACCCAGCCAGCCTTGACCCGGGGTGTCAACATGATCCACCCACCAGGCATCTGGCCCCTCATCACCCTGCTCCTGCTCAGGGTGGGCTACCCTGCCCGAGACCTCTGCACACACACACACACACAGGAGGGGCGCTGGGCTGCACAGTCGGATCACAGCGGTGTCTGGCTGGCCTGGCTGGCTCTGGGCCTCCCTGTGTTCCCTTTGGGCCCCTCCAGGCAAATGGCCAGAGGTGTCAGGGGTGGGACCTGACCCCAGGTCTGCAGTGTAGGCAACGGCTCTCACTGTCGGCTTTGCTGAGACCACATCCTGGGGACATCGGGATACAGCAGGATTGCAGCATCTCCAGCCAAGTGAACTGAGTAGGAAGGGGGCTGTCTCTAGAATGTGGGTGCCTGTGACAGCCCTTGGGCATCTTGGGGACGCCCTGGCCATCAGCCTGGCATGTCTCCCCCGAGCCCCATACTACGGCCCCGGGCATGTTCCCAGGAGACAATGCCCACAGCCCACGGCCCAGCTGCCTCCAACCTCCTCCTTCTTTCCCCCTTGTCCCCTCCAGGGTCCATGCCCCCTTGGACGCCCCTGGGGAGTTTGTGTGTGTGTGTGTGTGTGCGCGCGCGCACGCAGAGCCTTGTGTACGTGTGCCCGCGCGAAGGTGACCAGAGGAAAGGGCCCCACATGGGAGCGTGGGCAGGGGTCCCCCGGATCATAGGGGTCCTCGTTCCCAAAGGAAACCCCATGCGAGGTGAAGCTTGGCCTCGGAAGCTGGAACCCTCCCTGTTCCTCTAGCCTCTGCTCAGCTGGTGGGTCCCAGGCCAGTCCCTGCCTCTCCTGCCCTCAGTTTGCCGACTGTCCCATGAGGGCTTGGAGGAGGAACTTCATTAGCGTGGCTCGGCGTGGCCGGTCGGCTCCCACCTTTTGGGTGGACGTGGCGCAGGTGCACTCTGGGTGGGTGGGGCCCTCCCACCAACGGTGGGTCGGAGGCAGGTGGATCCTGCGCAGGCGCACACGGCCCAGCAGACAGCGCCTGCGCGGGACCCCACCTGCCAGCAGGCCTGCGCAACCCCAAGGGGCTGGCTGTGGCATTGGACCTCCGTGTCCCGATCTCCACTGCCTGCTCAGTGACCCTCACGTCCTCTTAGGCCGGGGGCCAGCCTCAGTCCCGCCAGGCAGGGCCGCTGGACGGAGTGGACATGGAGACCTGGGGACTAGAGAGAAATGAAATATACCCCCGCTGCCGTCCTGGCCCCCACATTCCACTTCAGTGTTCGTCTCAGTGCATGGCGGGGGGGTCAGGGGAGGGTGATGGGGACACGTGTGGGCAGGGAGGAGGTCAGGCCGCCTTTTCCTCCTCTACATCCCCTCCCCCTGTCTTCCTGGCAGCAGCCCCTCTCCCCAAAATCCGGCACTCAAACACCTTCATCTCCCTGCTTTAAACCCCAACCCATCCTCCTGAGGTGGGAGTCACTGACCCCATCTCCAAAGTAGAAAACTGAGGTCCCAGGAGTTCCCACAGGAGCTTGCCAGTCACAGGGCCGTGACATGGCCCTGCTGTGGGTTTGAACCCAGCTCAATCTGACCCAAAGCCTGAGCTTACAGAGGAGCCGGAGGAAGTAGCCTTTGAGCCCAGGCTTGGAGGTGAGGCCACCCTGGATGGGGGTCATAGGGAGGGACGGCAGGGGTTCTGAGGGGCAAATTCTTGCCGGGCTCCCTGGGGGACGAAGGCCCTACAGAGGCTGGAGTGGGCTGAGGGGTGCACACTGGGGAGCATGTCTAGACCAGATCACACAGGGCTCTCTGGATATTGGGCAAGGAGTCAGGGGACACTGCGGGTTCGGGGGTTCAGGGGACACAATCCGGGCAGTCTTACCAGAGCCACAGCATCGTAGATTTAGAAGGAGCTTGGTGGGCATGTTATTGTCCCCACCCAAGCATGGGGATCACCAAGCAAGCACCAGCCAGAGGTGAGGAGGCTGCCGCAGTTTCCTCCTGTGTAGAGTGGGGCCGTGGTGGTCGTCTGCGTCCTTCCAGGCCTGGGCATGCTGCCTGGAAGGTCCAGAGGTGGCTTCGTCAGAGTAGCTAGCTGTTTCAGTGAGGTCAGTACTCAGAGACGTCTGAGTCAGGAGACCAAAGGGACGCCCCACGTGCCCAGTTCAGCAGGATGCTCTTGTACATGGTGCCAATCTTCATGTCCAGGCTGATGGGGTTGAGGCAGCAGCGCCTACCTGCTGCATGGAGAGCGGCAGCGAGGAGCCGTGGTTGCAGACCCCGAGACACGGCGCTCGTGTGAGTCCGAGGCTGCCACAGATCTGATGGAGGCTGAGGAGGGGGAGGTGCTGACAGAGGCTGAGATGATGCCTGAGGTCTGCAGCAACGACTGGGAGGTCAACTCCGGAACTTGAGGAACGGCAAGGCCAGCAGAAACACCAGACTGTGTAAGGCAACCCTGGTCAGCATCTAGCCCAGAAGCTTCTAGAGACTGAGTCTTCTTGGCCCCTTGTGGCTGTGGAGTGGGGATCCAGGCTCCAGGAAGGGATGTCTGTCAGGGAGAAAGGGTGGGACAGTCACCTCCTTTTCCTGGCCATCAGGGATCCTGGAACAAAACCCACACTAATGTCCTCCACATCTACATCGGGCTGGAGGAGCATGCAGAGCGGGTAGGCGATGTCCCTGCTGCGCAGGTAGGGGCTGCATCTGAGCTGGTCCCAGGACTTGGAGTGAGCGCTCCTTTTGGTCTTGGGTGTTGTGTTGGGGGTGCGGTGGCAGAATTGAAGGGCTGACTTTGCATTGATCCGACACCCTGGGTGAATGGGTGCTCTAGGGTGTCCGTGGGCACAGGTGGCTGTGACCCACACATGGGAAGGTGTGAAGGAAGCACACAGAAGACAATGCCCTGAGCTATGCAGGTTTTCTGCTCATGGGCAGTGCTCCTTGGCAAAATTCAGCTAGTCTGCTTGTTCCTAGAGCACAGAAGGCCCCTAAGGTCGTGAGTGGTTCATGGGAAGTCAGGTCAGTCTGTTGCTGGGCATCATGCCTGGCAGGAGGAGAGCTTCAGCCTGAAATGATGGTCTGGGGGTGACCTGGAATGCCAGGTGAGGTAGAAATTGCCCAGGTAGCCTGATCCACTCCAGTCTGTATTGCTTCTCTACCCAACAACCCAGACCTAGACAATGGCCCTCTGGCTGGCTGGCATCTGGAACAGTTAGAATGTTCCTCTGGTTCAGTCGAAGGAGAAGATCAAAGTTAGTAGAGCAAAGGAAACTATGAAGATTAGGGCAGAGATAAATGGAAGAGAAGAGCATGTGAGAAAAATCAGTGAAAACAACAGTTCTTTCTTTTGCAGATTTACCAAAATTGACAAAGAGACAAAAATGGAACCACTTTATACCAACCAATTGGCTCCCTGAGATGAAGCAGATAATTCTGAGAAGCACACAAACTACCAAAGTGACTCCAGAAGAAATGGAAACCCTGAGCAGACCTATAATAAGTAAATAGACTGAAGCAGTCATGAGAACTTCCCAAGAATGAAAAGTCCAGAACCTGATGCTTTCCCTGGTGATTTGGCCCACACGTTTAAAGAAGACATAATACCAATCCTTCTGAAAGTCTGAAAAAAGTACAAGAGGAGGGAACACTTCCCACGTCACCCTAGAATGCCAGCATTGTCCCGATTCCAAAGACTGACAAAGACCTTACAAGAAAAGACAGTTGCAGGCCAAAATCCATTATGAAGAGCGAGGCAAAAATCCTCAACAGAATTCTAGCGACAGAATCTAGCA